AGAGAGGATGTTTTCTCATGTAAGACAATCTAGAATGAAAGTTCATAGTTTTGGGATAAGACATAGCAGCTTTATAACGGAGGTGAGGAGAAATTACTTCTCTCAATGGGTCATGAATTTATGGAATTCACTACCCCAGATTGAGGTGCTGGGATATGGAGTAAATTTAAGGTGGAGATTGACAGTTTTTTTATTAGTAGTGGGCTGAAGAATTATGAATAGCAGGCAGGTAAATGGAGTTGAGGCTGAGTTGAGATTATTCATAATCATATCAAATGATGGAGCAGGCTCGGGGACTGAATTGCCTACTTTTGCTCTTAATTCTTATGTTTTATCTGACATTGAGCAAAGCAGTACAACTAGTTAGTCAAGATGTTCTGTAAAATCAAACCCATGTGTCTACATAAAGAGTGATTGAACAACCCTGTGGGGGGGAAAAGTGAAGTTTATTGCATGCAAAACCAAAAATTAGGGAAACTTGAAAAGGTACCAAACAAAATTCTTTAACATTCCCATTTAATGTGATGGGAAAAATGCCCTAACCGTACTGCAGAAAGTTGGATATGCAGCAAAGTCAGCCATCATAAAACAGTGAGTCATTCAAAAAGTCCCATGTTTGCAAAGCAAAAGGACAATCCTTTAAATAGAAATTTTTAAACAGGAAGTGCAGGAACAAAACAGCCAGAAAATCACTTCTTTAATGAAATCAAAGAGAACAATATCTAATACAGGAACACTAACATTGAAGTCAATGGACCTCATGCAGAAGCTGTGGTCACAGAGCTGTGGAGGTCAAAGTCAACTCTGACAGTACTCAAACACTACTTTAACAATTAATACTGAATGTATGCTCAAGGGGCTAAGCCATAGCGGTGTCAAGGGGAACAGATTGAGGAGAACCTAAGAGATGAGCAGTGCCTCTAACCTCATTTCTTGAAATCGTCTAAATAGTTATAGGCGTGTACATATAGAGAATGTTTAAAATAACCTAAACCTGCAACCTAGATCTTCCAAGATGACTTTACAATAGTAATAGGCTATGAGCAGATTCAGCTCCAGCAACAACAGAACCTTCACAGTTTTCACTGTGGAGAGGACTAAAATACCTCCAACTCTCTTTCCATCAGTTGAAATCCTTCTTCCCTAAACTAGGAAAGGTATGCTGCAGTTGACAATGCTCAGGTCTATGGACCCCAGTTGGCCAATGAGATATCAGTTGGGTTTAACCAATGAAGACTCCACAGTGGAGCAGCGAAGAACTGTAGCAAGTTTTCTAATGTTCAAGTGACCAGGACCATTCTATCAATTATAACATTGTCTTGCAGAGTCATCTAAAGCTTGTGAGAAGAATTATAGCCGTACGAGCAGACACATTTCCTTCCCCTCCCCTTCTGCTGGATTCAAACTTAGGCTGTAAAAAGGGCAGTGCATTAGCATGAAAGTGGGAACCCTACTGGTGAAGTATATTAAAGTGTGCAGTGAATATTAATTATGTTTTATAAATTTCCTACATATGTTATATGAAGATATGAACTAGCCCAAAAATAAACTTCCAACAAAAAGAAACAATTTGCTGGATCAAAACAAATCTCAACATCACTCAAAGCAGAAATAATGAATCAGTACCAATAACACATCTGATATCTCGTTTTCTTTTTTGTTCTCTGTG